CACACACACACACACACACACCACCACCACCACCCCACCCCCGTCTCCTGGACTTTGCCTACTCTCTTCCCAACATTAGGAATGATGTGTAAGAAATTCATGTGCTTGCTTCGTTGCGCAACCCCTGAACTTGTTGACAGCATCTTCTTCCACCCTAACAGGAGAGCACTTAACATTAGACAACCCTATAAAGGATCACAATTATTTGTCTTGCTGAGTGCCTAGGAATTGGAGGAATCTAACCAGCTATGATAGTGCACACTCGTGTAAGCCCAGTAGTACTGGGGAGGCTGAGGCAGACCTAGACTACGTAGTGAGTTCAACCCAGCCTAAATCGCATACTGAAACCCTGTCTCAAAAAAAATGGGAAGAATCAGATTTAAACTTCCTTGGCCTCTGGGAGGCTTGCACTATGCGGAGTCACCTAGGAAATGATACTTTCTTGGGAGTGTGAAAACAAGCTAGAGATGACGGTGGAAAGTAAACCACATGTACTGGAATCTGCATTTGATGGGATCCAGGTTGGCATGACAAAGCAGCTACTTCTGGACAGCTGACTAAATGTGTCAACTAACTAGCAAGTGACAACAGACGATACTGATCCTGACAGAGCTGTAACATTCTCAATGTTTAATTAAAAAAAAAATATATATATATATATATGCAATCCCTTGTGCTCGTCCTCAGCAAGTGCTCGGTGCCTGGTTCCTTACTGCACTCTCAAAATATGTTGGGTCTAGTCCCAGTCCTGATAGTTACTACTTTGTGCTACACGAATCACCTCTTAGTCTGTAAACAGTTATTTAAGAATAAAATGAGATAATATGTAGAAACATGCCTTGCATGTATTTAGAGCCTACCAGACACTGGCTTGATGTCTTTACCTCTCCCTCCTGTGTGACCGTACCTAGCTGGCCCTCCCCTCACCACCTTGAGGAATGAGCTGAGGGTCACCCAACGACACCCCCCACCAGATACAACACCTGTCTTCCAACAGATCCAAATAAACAGTGGCTATTTATTATGCATCTACTATGTTTCAAGACACTGAGGATCAGTGGAACCAGCATTGCAGGATGGAAATTTCCAGCTGTGCTCTGCATATGGCTAATGATCTTAGCACCTAATGCAAACGTTTAATAAAACTTCATTGTTACATGAAGGAGTGGTCCTCACTCCTTCTGTAGAGGCAGATTAGAGGGACCTAAACAAAACCCAGCGCAAAATACGGATGACTCACATTGTAGAATCATCACAGCTCACCTGTGGCTGACGGTGATAAGATCATCACATGCTTATATGCACCATGTGCTTGTATCCTTTATGAAAGCATTTCTCACATTTACTTACGCTGACCTTTTTGCCTTGCCAGAAACAAAGGCTAAGACCCTGAGTGGCCCAGCCCATGAAGACCATTCCCACTGAGAGTCTGGACACATCTCACACCGCATCCCAAGCGAGAGGCCCCTTTCTTACAGCACCACTCTGCTGCTAAGGCAGCTTCTCTTCTGCCTTCTCTGTGTTTGCCACACTGTAAATAAACTTTTGCTTTGCTCTACAACAGTCTTGACTGCCCCACTTCTCACGAAGAGCCCCACTTCTCCATTCTTTGCTAGAGCAAGCGCAAGGACCGGGAGAGAGGCGGAGGGTCACCCAGAGACCCCCACACACAGCAGATACAACACCTGTCTTCCAACAGATCCGAATGAACAGTAACTATTTATTATGCATCTACTATGTTCCAAGACACTGAGGATCAGTGGAACCAGCATTGCAGGATGAAAATTTCCAGCTGTGCTCTGCGTATGGCTAATGATCTTAGCACCTAATGCAAACGTTTAATAAAACTTCATTGTTACACAATCATTCAGAACTTGTTAATGATGCAAACACCCACCTCTCCATACCTCTATGCTTGAGATTCTACTTCAAGGAATTTGAGATAGGAGCCCTGATTCTCATTTTTTAATGTCTTTACAGAAATACTAAATGCATAATATGAATACATAGCATAAATACTTGATTATTTCACTTTTCTTTTTCAACAATAGGGATTGAATAGGGCCTTTGCACTGAGCTACATCCCTTGCCTTTTTTATTCTGAGACAGAGTCTTACTAAGTTACTAAATTGCCCAGATTGGGTTTGATCTTCTTGCCTCAGTCTCTCAAATTGTTTCACTTTTTTATCTTTTTTTCCAGATCATTTTCTTTCTTAGTACTTGTTGGAGTACATAACGTTCACACGCCTTGTGTGGAGCTGGTACCTGCGCACAACACATCTTCATTCCTTTTTTCATCTCTTCCCTTTCCTCCCTCCCTCCACTCATCTCCTGACCTCCTTCCTTTGTCTGTACACGTTTGCAGCACAGTGTTCACATTCTTTGTGTGGAGTTGGTATGTGTGCATTACACATTTTTTGTGTGTCTTTTTGAGACAGGGTCTTGCTATGCAGTTCAGGCCCGCCTTGAGCTCACTTTGTAGTCCAGGCTGGTCTCAAACTCACAATGATCCTCCTGCCTCAGTCTCCCGAGTGCTGGGATTACAGGCTTGCGCCACCATACCTGACACATAACACATTTTGATTCGTTTTTTCTTTCCCTTTCTCCTTTCCACTTCCCCTCTCCATCCATCTCTTGATCCTCTTCCTCTCTGAGAAAGATCTATCTTCCTACTTCCTACTATCTATCTTTTATTTTGCTCTTTATTTATACTTTGGTTTTTCTAATATAAGAGAAACTATGTGACATTTAGTCTTGTGTAGCTGATTTATGTTGTTCAACAAGTTTATCCTTATGTCAGAGTAGTACTCCATTGTGTATAAATACCACATTTTCTTTATCCATTCACTGTGGAGAAGGACATTTTATAGTTAACCTTCTAGTGTATAACTTATTTGGGGCTTTGAGCCTGATCGAGCCATATGATTGTTTTTGCAGGAAGTCTAGTAAAAGCGTTAGGGTAAAAGGACAGGAAATAGGACCTTAGTCCCTCTGGAAAGCCGCTGGGACAAGACTAGATATTTTGTTGAGAGAGGTCCGAAGGAATGATAACATGATGGTTAGCTAAGTTAAACTTTAGTTCCTGTGATAATTAAGTTGTATTGTCCTTGCAAGTCCTGTTAATAATTCCTCCCATTTCCTCTGTTCCTGTTTTTTGTGAAAATCCCAATAAAAGGCTAAAGAAAATTATAACCAAGGCTTCAGTCCTAGAGGCTGTAGCCCCCTGATCCCATAACTTCATCTGTCTTGTTTTTCTTTTCATCTGCCACACCTCATTCTCAGGACCTGTCACCACACACAGAAACCAAAATGTAACTGACAATTCACCTACTGATGGACATATGAAAAAATTTCCCTTCTTTCTCTGTGTTAGCAACCTTGTATGTTTTATTCAGTATTTTTACAATATTATATTAATATACATTATAGATATTATACAGTATCTGTATTCACACATACATATATTCTCATATTGAGTCGCTTGGTCATTTTCCCTCTGTGGGACAGAATACCCAACACCCATAACTCAGAAGAGGAGAGGTTTATTTTGGCTCACAATGTCAGTGGATTCCGTCCATGGTCAACTGGTCTCCTGGCAGGAATGGCATGGCATAGGTGTCTGGCAGAGGGCAACTGCTCATCCCATGGCAGCCAGGAAGCAGAGCACAAAAGAAGGAGACAGGGATAAGAATACACCCTTCCAGGTCAGGCTCCTGGTGACCTGCCCTTTGTGACCTGTCCCCGATAGTGGTGATGTGCTGACCACACCTCAAAAACACTGACAGAATGGACACCCGGGGTGTGTTCATTCCTTTGCTTTCACGAAACAAATTACAGGATGTGAGAATGAAAAAAGACTTAGCTTTTCTCATAACATGAAGAAAGCTGAGTTTGGACAAGCTCTATGTGTCTCTGTGATAGAGGAAGTGAATGGTGGGACAGGGAGCAGAATTCATGTCTTTTGACTGAGATTTGAGACGTTTAATTGATGAGTTTGATTACTAATGATTTCCTATACAAAAAGGAAGTGCTGAGTGCAAGGTAGAGAGATAAGCAGAACATGGGAGGCCTTGTTTGTTGCAGAAATTCATTTTGTAAGAGCCACTTCCTAAACTGGTAAAGCTCTACCACAGACCAGCTGAGTGACCGTGATCAAAGCAATTCACCTTGTGACCTGAGTGTTCTTTGAGTCTCTCAGTCAACAAGTATTTCCTGAGCACCTACTAAGTGGTAAGCAATGTTTTAGGGGCTAGGGATAAAGCAGTGAACCAGATATGAGGATAAGTCCTGCACCCAAGAAACCTCCTGAAGGGCTGAAAACATGGCTAAGTGATAGCCAGTCCTTTGGGCAGGTATGGGTCCGTTCATCTGTGATGGTGGCTCACTTCTCCCTAGTCCTGTTTCCATTCTTTCCCTCAAGGTATAGCCCACCCCATCATCATGGTATCTTTCCTTGCCTAACAGATGTAATTTGTGAATCCACTGGGCAAGGGCTACAGTCTGAATTCCCTATTTTCTGTATTAATAAATAGCATATAACTGGTAAATGCTGAGAAAACAGCAAATTAGGAATTTACCTAAAATCTGTCCTCTCTCCTGGTGGACTCAGTCTCCAGACCTGCTGTGTCTGCTGCTGCCGACATCACTGAGCCTCCCAACAACACCCTGCTGGCCCCTCGCTTGCCTCTTGCCACACTTTCCAAGAGGAATCAACAGAGCTGAGGGCACCATATGACTGGCCAACGACAGCCCCTCAAAGATGCCCACACTCAACCCCTACAACCTGTACATAAACGACCTTACATAGCAAAAGGACCTTTGTAGTTGTGACCAATATTAAGGACCTTGAGATGAGGAGAGTATGCTAGATATCCGAGTGGACATAGTGTAACTATGGGAATCCGTAAAAGTGCAGTAGGAAGACAGATGTATGGATGACTTTGCAGGTGGAGGAAGGGGTTTATGAACCGAGGCAAGTGAGGGGCCCCTGGAAGCTGAGAGAAACCCTCAGCGAACAGCCAACAAGGACATGGGCTTATTTGTCCTGTAACTTTGAGAAACGGAATTCAGCAGGGATCCGAATGAACATGGAAATGGATTCTCCTCCAGAGCATCCAGAAAGATTAGCAGCCCTGGTGGCTCCTTGATTCTGTCTTGCTGAGACCAGAAGAATATAAGAGAGCAATGTGTGTCATTTTAAGTTTCTAAATATGCCCTAATTTGTTAAGATAGCAATAAAACACTAATTCAGAGCCTTGTGGTGTGGAAAATAGAGGGAGAAACCAGAGGGATGAGTCACTCAGCTACCTGACCTCGAAGGAGATTTCTAAGCAACAGCTCTTTAACTCAAGGGAAAATGCAGACAGAAAAGGAAATGAATGCCGATGAACTTGTCCTTAGTGAGGATTCTCAGTGATGCTCAACTTTTAACTACCTCTTTAATAATATGGAGATGGCTTTTTGGAAAGAAACAACATATATAAACCATCTCTATTGGCTTTGGAGTTGATGTTCATTATTATTAAAGGAAAGACTGTCTTCTACTCTCCCACATGGAAAGCCAGCCAATAGTGGACAAGTGCTGTATTTGTCTTCTCTTGGGTCTGGTTCTGTCCTCCCTCTACTGCCCCAGGAAGGCTTTTCTGTTTTCTTCCCCATCTCACCACCCAATGCCATACTCTCCGAGTATTACTCTGTCCTATAATAGATGTCTTCACTTCATCTCTCTCTCTCTCTTTTTTTTTTTTTTTTTGGTAAACTCAGAGCCTTGTGCTTGCCAGGCAGGTGCTGTGTGACTGAACTCTATTCTCTATGCTTATATCTCTCTTATTTGAACACAGCACCCAGAAGGCAGGAATTGTATATTTTTCAACATCATAACTCCAGCATCTGACATAGTTCTCTCAAGGGTGGGTGGGTGGATGGATGGATGGATGCCACAGATTCCTCTGAGCCTCATCATCTTTGCCTTTAGTACTAAGACACCTTTTGACTAGTTCCCCCATCGTTGAAAATGTTATCTCAGTTTGGATTTTTTCCCTGCCTAGAAAAACTTTATAATCTTGTCAATTGGTGGAGAAACACTACATTCATCACCATGTTGTTCAAGGCCTTCCTATCATGGCCTTAACCCATGCTTTTGGCCTTTTCCCTCTTGCTCCAGCTCCCTTCATCTATTTATCTGTGCACTTGCTTCCACTTTATTCAATTTTTTTTTCAAATTTAAGATCTGGAAGTCCAATCCCCTAATGGTCATAAAATCAGTTGAGTGGGCTCTACGTAGCATATTTTTAAGAAAGAATAGGGAGTGTCTAAGCATATGGCACACAACAAACATAATGTAAGGTTCATGAAACTTCCGTTGCGATTGTGTGTATGTTTCACACTTAAAATTTATTTCTTACTCTGGACAGTGTTCTAAACTGAGAACTTCTTAATGATAGCTTGATGTTTTGTTTTTGTTGCTTTTTAAAAAAATTTTGTTTTTTTTTATTTTTTATTTTTGTACCAGGAATTGAACTCAGGACCTTGCATTTGCTAGGCAGGCACTTGTGCCACTGAGCTATATCCCCGGCCCTGTTGCTGGTTTTTTTATTTCCAGTATTTAGCACAGTGTGGGGCAATTACAACTTGTTTATTTGTTGAATTTGTTGAATGAAAGGCGTATGGGAATGAAGGGCTACAGAGTGACACTAATAGCACAAAGGTAAGTGCTGTGGGCTCCCTGTTTCCCTAGAGGACAAGCTCAGTTCTCCCAGAGTGTCACAGAAGGAGCACGTGGGCAGACAGAGAGGCACTTGGCTTCGGATGGCAAGTCTCTTTCCAATCAGTGCATGAGCTTCTGTGAGGCATCTGAGTTAAGG